AGAAGAAGCAGCTCAGTCCTTTGTACATATGAATGTTGTTTAGCATGTGCTTTTTTATGGAACAAGACAAAGTCTTTATAATGTTAATATGACAAGTAGATATATTATTTTCTATGTGTACAAATGAAAAACAATCTGCTTCTTTAATTTATGTTGAAAACTCTGAACACTAACTTCCTAGGGAGGAAGTGTGTGTGTGTGGTGTGTGTGTTAGATACCTCAGACATCCCTGCTGCTGCTCACCTCCCTCATCACGACAGCACCGTGGCGTCTGCACCCTGGCCCAAGTTGATTTTTAATTTGTTTTATTTTTTTTATGTTTTCTGAGCTCCATCTTATTGAGCAGAAACGGTGAAGTGGGTTTAGAGATGAACCTCTGCTGCTGTTTCTGTTGTGAACTTTGTCGTTCACTCTCAACTCAGAAATCTTCAGCACAGAAACAAAACTAGACGTTTTGTCTCAAACTATTATTATTGTGTTTACATTTTCATTTGAGGATTTTGATGATTATTTTTCTCACTGAGACCATCAGTGCTTTTGGCTCACTAAAATGACAGAAGACGGTCATAAATCTTTCCCCAGAGACCAGGGTGGCAGGTTTCCTGTGACACAGAATAGAGAAAAACAGTTTCAAAGCATATTTGTTTTTTTTATTGATGAAAACGATTTGATTATTACAATATTCGCTGATCACATCTCTGTTGATTGACTAATCGATAGTTTTTATCCAATGGAGATGGATCACTAGGAGCTGCAACAATCAGACATCGAATCAAATAAACAAAACTAATTTGCAAAATTCATTTAGATGATTCATCAGTCATTTATTTTTAAAGCAAAAGTTCCAAATTGTTTCTTTTTAATCTGAAGTTAAATTGAATATTTGGGTTTTTGGTCCAATAAAACCATTTGAACACATGGAATTACAGCCGAGATTGTGCAGCTTCAGACCAGGCACTTCCTCCTCCTCCACGAGCCGGATCTCACATTGAACTGCACAGTGTGCCCAGCACAGGTGAGAACAGGTAACCTGACTCATGAAATGCAGTCCTGGATTTGTCCTCCACTGGTGGAACAGTTGAGTCAGAAGAAGCTGCATCAGTTTCTTCTCCTGTTTCTCTGTAACCGTGTCAGTTTTCAATTTTTTTGTCCACATCAGTCCCAGTGACAGTAACGGCGATGTGCTCAGCTCCTGGGTAAGCGTCACCGCCACAGGTGTATTTCACAGCAGTAAAGAAATGATGAAAACGAGAGCCGCATTTAAAGCGGACTTGTTCTTTAAATGATGTCGAACCTCCATCCGTTTCACAACAGAGCCTTGTCCAGCTGTGGTGGAACAGCAGCAGAGGTGTTTAAAGGGACATTTCATATGCAAACCAGTTAAGATTGATTTCAGTCGATCTGCAGGTGCATTCACTGTGTGGGGGCACTCGGTGTCTGAGTACTGAACAGTATGTGGGTGTCTGTTAAATATTGTACAGAAGAAAATGTGGTGCTGTTTCCTCCTGAAATAAAGTGACTGCTCTGATTCCTGTCAGTTCTTCTTCTGGTGTTTTGTTGGTTTCAGCAGAGCCTTGATGCTCATACTGAAACCCAGTATGGCTCCATCTGCTGATGATGTTCAGATTTAGTTTGACACCTTATGTTACCAGAAAGAATTTTTTCTATAGACAGATATAAAGGTTTAAGGGATTTCATTCTTGGATTTAGAGGAAGAAGCAACAACAAAAGTGAAATAATGAAATAGCACAAATTAATAAATAAGGCCAGAGATGTATAAGTGAAAGGCATTTCTATAACCTCATCATCCTGAATAAAAGTGTTTACTGAGAGGTCCTGTTCATCATACAGTAAATGGCTGCTGGTGTAAAAAATACCTACAGTATCTGTTAAACTTGCTAAATAAGGTGCCGTAGGGATGACATATTTTTGTAGGCCAGCCCAGAAGTTAGCGTCTCCCTGCCCTCGACAAGAAGTCAGTGGGATTTCCCCAAAGGCTTTTGAACTACTGCAGAAATAAGCCCTCTAACAAACAGTAGTTTGATACTTACACAGTTTATTCATCAAGATAATCATTAAAAATCAACACTTTTATTATTTCTGAAGCCTAAATACAGTCACCAGAAGTAAAACGCTATTGTTAGGCTATAAACAAACTACACCACAGCCCTGTTACTTCAGTGTCACCACCACAGCTTCCAACTTGTAATTTGATTTAGTAATCTCATTTTTACAAATTCCTTCCCTCTTAGCGGGATCTGATAGTGATCGTGGCTGCGTCCGTCAGTCAGAACAGTTTGCAAGTGTGTGACTATAAACACAGCGAGGTTGTAAAGGCGGACTAGTGAAACAATGTAAACATTTTTTCTAGTTGGTGATCTTACTTGTATTTGGTTTATGATCCTTATACAGTAAGTAATGAGTGAAATTTGCCATGGTGACTTACCGTGAATCAACACTGTGCCCTGCCCACATCAGCAACCTCAGACTAATCAAAGCTGTTGATACATGTCAAGTGGTGTTGCAACAGTGTGAGGTCAGTAACTGACTGGTTGTAAAATTTTAACGAGCTAGGATTCCCTAGTCTAGGCCCATTTCGGCCAAATCCACCCTACTCCTCTATTAGAGCCAAATACCAGGACTATCAAATGTTGACTGTTAAATATCAGATATGTCTCATCCAAATCTCTGTTAGTGAATGATTTGATATGTGAACATCATATTGATTTATTGTGTCTGACTGAAACCTGGTTACAGCAGGAAGAACATGTCAGTCTAAATGAATCCACCCCCCCAGTCACAGTAACTGTCACAGGCCGAGATGGAGGTGTGGCAGCGATTTTTGACTGAGCCAATTAACCAGTAAAGGCTGAAAACCATTATAAAGCCTCATCCGGTTCTTTCAAACCAGGAACTCCGAGGGACGACTCAGACCACTTGAGTATATAAAAAATATATCCGTGCTGGTTTATTCAAAAAGTCACAGGCAAGAATTCACACTTCCAGTCCAGAGATCTTCCAAACCCCCAGCCTGCCAAAGCAGCCCGGAAGCAGGAAGACCCCGAACCACGCATTGCTATACAATATTAATCATTTCTGGGCTGTCGAACCGTGACGTCACCTGATATGCCAGCTTGGCAGCTGAGCAGAGCAGTAGACCAAACATGAAGAAAATAATGTGTGTGGCTGTTGTTTTCGTGGTGTGTATCTAAAACAATTTGACATAACATTACACATTAAGACAAATATTATGGTTACTTTTACCATCATAATAACATTCGTCCCTGACTTGAGCTGCCTTAACCAACCTTGCATTTAACAGCCTGAGGAAGACATCCTGGCTGCACTAACATTCAGACAACAAATCTCTGAATATCTATCTAACTAAAAAATAACCTAACACCAGGTATAACTCATTTGAAAGCCTCACCCTCCCAAAGTCCTCCCTAAGGTCTCAGGTCCTGAACCCTCAGAGACTTTAGTGATGTCAGTATGCAGCGGCTGGAGACTAGACAGGAAGGGGACAGCACTTTGGATTGAGGCTATATCTTTTTGGACAATGCCAAAACGATGCTATGGTTCTAACTGTTGTGGGTTTAGAGCTTTTTATTTTACGTTTTCACTCTCCTCAGGCCGAGACACTTCAGGGGCCAACTGGCTGGGTTGAACCTGATCCGGGCTCTTGTCTTGTAGAGTGGACGTGGGGCAAGTGTCACTTACCTGATCAGTTTAATATATGTCTTTGTCGAAACAGCATCATGAAGCAAAACAGAAAATAGAGATCAAGATATTTTATTGTCAATTCACTATATGTGCAGGACATACAGAAAAATCGAAATACTGTTTCTCTCTCACCTAATGTTGAATGTCCATACCATTTAAGAAACTAAAGTAGAATAAACACAATAAACAGAATATGAAAACTGAATTCAAGTAATAAAGATAAACTAAATGGTACAACCTAGTAGGCTATGAAGAAACTCAAAGCCATGTGCAAACAGTGATAATAAGAAGATTGTCAGGTGGTCACCATCACCAGGGGCATTGGTGATGAGATGCATGGACAGCAGTGCAAATGACCAACAGCAGCAGACATGAAGTAAAAAAAACTGTCAGCAGCAGATTCACATATAATATGACAGAAAGAGGGAATGCACTGGGTTTGTGCAAACAACGGGGGGTAGTCCTTTTATGTCTAAATAGTTGATGAATGAAATAGGTGCATAATATAGGATGTTTAAGTTTAAGTTGCAGTATTTAGCAGATGCTTTTGTCCAAAGCAAAACACCAGAATAACATCAGTTAACATAACAATGACTGTTCGTTTACAGTTTGTCTTCTGTATTATTCTGATCTAAGGCATTTGTTTACCTTCATTACGCTTCCAGCCTCCTCAGGCAGGCTAATCCTGCATTTCACGTCACAGCGCAGTGAACTGTGGGGGATTCCCTCAGGCAAAGTCTGCAGAAATGCTGACTTACGAAAGGTGAACCTAGTGGGCTTATAATGAAGGTGAGAGCCCTCATGCACTTGTCGACTTCACAGCGGGATGGCCCTCCGGGTTCTTTCACCTGTTGCTCGTTCCCCTCACCTGCATCGCCCTGTTTGCTGGTTCATCTTTCATCTTCCTACACGCTCTGTCTTTGCTCCTGGTTTTTGGCTCCTTCCTCGATGTTTCGCCCTGTGTTTTTGCTCCTGTTTTGTCTTGGCCGTTGCTCACTCCTCGTGCCTCCTCTGTGCTTTTTGGGACTGTGGTCATCTTGGCTCTGGTTTGTCATCCCCTTTGTCCTTGATACTTGGTCAGCCCTAGTCCTTATGTTCTTGGTTTTTTCATGTAGGCTCGTTGACTGTGTGGTCTAGTTTTAGTATTTTATTTAGTCAGGCTTGAGCCTCCTTATGTTTTACGTGCTTGGTGTCATTTAGTTATGCATTTTTGGACTCAGTTCTTGGTAAACCTCGTTTCTTCTGCATTTGTCCAAGTCTGCATTTGGGTCCTCCCTGTTAAATGTTGGCAGAAACACTATCCTTTAATTTGTTTATATATCAGTTGCTTTGATTTGTATATTTTTCTTGCACTTAAAAATATCATGGTTTCTGACCTTTGCCTTAGTATTCTCGAGAGAGACGAAGTTGATGGATCGAGTTTACGTTTTTTTGTGTGTAGATAAATGGTCATATATTTACATAGCGCTCTTCTACACTGATTCTCATTTGCACACTGGTGTCATCACTGGGAGAGGCAGGGGATCGACCCACCAACACTTCAGTGAGGGAACAACCCTCTAGCTCTCTGAGGCACAGCCGCCCCAAGATAATTGTGAGCCACACTCCAGCAGGTGGCGGTAATGCACCTTAAAGTTGGTTGCCACCCGCAATTAAACAAGTAGAAGAAAAGATTTGCTGCGGTGGTTGATGGGATTGCTGTACCGCTAGTGTAGGCATGTCCACCATGTTTTCCTCGGAGCATGGAGTAGAGTAAGACGGAGAAACCGCCTCTATGTCCCGTAAACCCGCACCCTGACGACGACTCCTGCCGGTAATTGGCGCAACGGACATCGATGAGCTCTGCCGCGACGAACACATTTGGGTGCGGAGCCGATCCTCGTCGGTATTGGTGCGGGTTTGTGGCGGGATTCGCCGTTCTCTCGATTTGTCTCTGATCTGGTACAAACAATGAGTAAACTCTCGTTCCGGGCGCGAGCGCTAGACGCCGCCAAACCGCTCTCGGTTTACCGCAACAGAGACCTGCCGGACCTGACTGACTGCGTGTCAATAAACCGGTCCGTGCCACAGATGCCCACGGGGATGGAGAAAGAAGAAGAGCTGGTACGGGCATGGTTTAATTTAAATCTTAGCTGTGGTTGTTAGCCTTAGCTCTGTACTGCGGCGGGATTCATGACTAGTTTACGTACTGATCTGTTCGCACGTTGTGTACGAAGAGCTGGACTTACGAATAAAAGACATTTACGTAAAGTCCTCAGTGAACACTTAGCGTAGTGGCTAAGAGGTTTGGGCGCTTTTTGACGCTGTGACGTTTAGGTTTTTGCGTAGTTGTTATAGCAATGGGCGATGCAGCTCGTACTGATTCAGTGTTTCTGTGTGCGAGCAACATTCCTTAAATGTGTCGCATACAAAGTTATAAAGTCACAGCTTTATCGGAGTTACTGTCCACACAGGCCCTGTTAAAAACGGAAGTGAAAGTCTTCCCTCTCTGTTTGACAGGCTCATTGGGCGATATAGACTGATGCTGATGCATCCTGGAGGGGCAACGAACTGTTTAAATACTGTTAAGGTGAAAGTTGGATGAACATCCATCCACATTACATCCAAACAGTAATATTTATCCATACGTGTTTTTTTTATTCCATCTTGTCTGTGATGCTCACAGTGAAGGAGAAACTTTAGGTAATCAGTTTTAAATCTTGTTATTCCAATATTTGAAAGGGCAGGAAATTTCAATGCAGATACAGTCCAATCGTGAGGAAAGACAACACAGTGGAGACAGCTTGGTCCACTGGCTGGTACTCACATCTGTGAAAACATTGGCACAAATCCTCCAAATACGCATCGCTTGGATAGACTGATCAGATATTCTGAATGTAAATGTTTTAGAAAAATCTGAACTTAATAATGTATTATGATACCAATTCTAGGTCAAAATATTCTGTTGCTGGATAGATAAACAAAATGTTACCATAGTAAGGCAGATGGGCAACCAGCTACAACATAATTTTCATCCAAATCAATCATTTTTAATGAAACATCATAGGCTGTAAGATGGATGTGCAGGGATGGTCTACAATGTGCAACACAAAGGGACAGAGTTATTGTTTCTGAAGCCTTGGCCTTCAGCTACATTAAAGAGTCTCGTATCCACAGTGATGAAATTTACTATGGCATCTGTTCTGGTTTTTTTTTTATCTCTGTTGTTGGTTTTTGAAGTTGTAGGGTCTGCTGTTGAGTTTTGGGTGTGGATGCTGATGATGGTTGCGACTGGGGATGCACCTATGGGCAACGTTATTATTAGGCTGGGCTACTCTATATTTTTAGGTAAATAATAGCACTTATTTTCCAAACAAAATAAGTGCATGTTTTTGTGATGTCATTACAGTTTAAATGTTAAAAGCAGCCTCATCAAGCTGGACAACAGATAGTAGTCAAGTTTGCTATGCTAGTGTGATGTTTTTTTTTTTGTTTGTTTGTTTTATGCAGTCAAAATAGTGTAGTACCTGCAGCATTCAGGTGATCTTTCATGCTAGTTGTGCCACTTTGGGAGGCCAGTTTCAAGTGGCATATTTGGCACATTGCTTTTGTCTTGTCATTCAGTTTAATGTGTTCCCACACGGCTGAGGTCTTCAGTATTTTCCCTTCCCTTTAATATCCAAGGTGAACTAGAAGTATTGTGTTCACTGCTAAGGTCTAGACCTTACTTTGTAAAGTGTCCTGAGATGACTTTTGTTGTGATTTGGCGCTAGACAAATAAAATTGAATTGAGTAGTCAACTATTTGAGTCCAGGCTCACTGATTTTTATATGGTAAGGTGCTGGAACAAACTGATAAAGTTCCAGATCCCTAGTCTGAACAGGGCCAGACTGTACAGCTTATCTTTTGGGTACCCACTTGTCAAAAGTGGTGAACCTGACAATAAAACTGAACAGTGGATTTGCTGCGAGAGGTGGAGGAGAGTGATGATCACTAATTAAACTTGGCCAGAGCAGCAGCATGTGAGAGGACTAATCTGGTTTCTGGTTGTTTCAGGAGCACCACCTGCAGAGGGCAATTTCAGTCCAGCAGGTGTTCAGGGAGAAGAAGGAGAACATGGTGATCCCCGTACCCAAAGCAGAGAGTCACACCACCTACTATGACCGTCTGTACAAAGGAGAGATCAAAGTTCCCAAACAGCTCATTCACATACAGTGTGAGTACACGTCACATTGACCTGCACCTGTTCTACACTTGTACTACATGCGACTATGCTGAAGGAACTCATACAGTTGTGTGCACACAACACAGTTTAAAAGATGCGTAGGCCTTTTCCCGAAGAAAAGTGGAGCTTTAAAATACAAACCAGATGTGAGACTGCGTACTTGTACACAGGGTTATATTGGCACCCCTCTGTTTGTCACATAACACCCTGCTTCTCCCAGAAAGTTTTTACAATCACAAGTTCTGTGATATCTCATGTTTATTTCTTTTGTTTGCATTGGCACAACACAAAAAGCAGAGAAAAATCAAATCTGATCCATTTCACACAGAACTCCAAACATGGACTGGACAGAATTATTGACACCCTCATCTTAATATCTGGTAGCACACCCTCTGGACAAACTAACTGAAATCAGTCACTTCCTGTAACCATCAGTTTCTTCCACCTCTCTACTGGAGTTTTAGATCACTCTTCTTCTACCAGCTGCTCCAGGTCTCAGATTTGAAGGCTTCCATCTCCCAGCTGCTGTTCTGAGATCTCTCCACAGGAGCTCTATGGGATTTAGCTTTGGACTCATTGCTGGACACTTCAGAACTCTCCAGCACATGGTCTGAACCCATTTCTGATGCTTTCTGAAGTCTGCTTTGGCTCATTGTCCTGCTGTAAGACCCGTGACCTCTGACAGAGACCCAACTTTCTGACACTGGGCCCTACATTGAGCCCCAGAATTCATTGGTAGTCTTCAGATTTCACAACGCCATACACACAGCCAAGACATCCAGAGTACGAAGCAGTAGAGCAGTGAACCATGTTTGACTGTAGGGATCATGTTCTTTTCTTTGAAGGCTTCATTTGTTTTCTGAAAGCAGCAGAATGATGCGCTTGACCAAGAAGTTCTATTTTAGTCTCAACCGTCCACAGGACATTCTCCCACAGGGACCGTGGCTTCCTCATAGGTTTGGCAAACTCCATTCTGGCTTTATGTTCCTGTGTCAGCAGTGGGTCTCCTACCATAGCGTCCCTTGTCATTCAAATGGTGACGGATAGTGAGAGCTGACACTGTTGCACCCTGTGCCTGCAGGTCAGCTTGGATTTGTTTGGAAGTTGATCGAGGTTCTTTATCCACCTGTCATCTATTTTCCTCCCTTGTCCACATCCAGAGAGATTAGCTGCAGGACCATGGACTGTAAACATCCTGACAGTGTTGGGCACAGTGGACACAGGAACAGCCAGATCTCTGGAGATGGATTTGGAGCCTTGAGACTGTCCAGGCTTTTCCACTATTGTGGTTCTCAAATTCTCAGACAATTCTTTGCTCTTCTATCTTTCCTCTATGCTCAGTGTGGTCCACACCACACAAAGGTTGAGTCAATGTTTCTCCATTTTATCTGGTTGTAAGTCTGATTTCTATATTGCCAGCAGCTGTTTGCGCTACAGGCGAGTTTCATTACAAATTTAAGGAGCATCACAGGCTGGAAATACAACAGTTTCTGATTAGTTTGAAAAGGTGTCAGTAGTTCAGTCCAGTCCATTTTTGGAGTCGTGTGTAGAATGTATTAGATTTGGCTCTTTTTTTTTTGTTTGTTTGTTTTTTTTTTTTTGTTCCAAAGCAAACAAAAGAAATACACATGAGAATACCGAAGATTTTGATTGCAACAACTTTCTGGGAGAAATGGTGCCCTATCTGATAAATGTGGAGGTGCCAGTATTTTTGGCCATGACTGTATATGCACAATGGCCATCTGTGTTATAATGTTTATGCTTGTATGACACTAATTATTCCATTAGCACATCTTAATTTTTAAAGCCTGACCAGCTCAAACCACTGCCACCTGAAATTCACTATTAAACTGAGCACCTGGCACTAGCTCAACACATTCCCAAACCCTCAGGGCCACACTGGGCTCTGCTTGGTGGCTGTTACAGCTACCCAGATTATGTGCAGTAATGGATTCTGGAAAGTCTGGCTCACCTTTCCCTGATATAATCCTGATTTCTTTTAATCTCAAACACATTAAATGAGAAAATCAACTAATTTTGAGGCATTCATCTACAAATGGTGGTTGATAGGGTTAGGAGTGTAATAGGATTCAATGTGCACACATTCTTAAGTTAACTGTGACTGAAGGGAAATTTGTGTGGAAGCACATGCTTACCATTGAATGAATTTGATTGTTCTAGCTATTTCCTGTATTGTGCAAACAAAGTTGTGGTTCAAATCCCTGGTTTCATACATGAGGCCCCAGAGCTGTACAGAATTTTACCAGATGAATTTGAATCACTGGGTTTTACTGAATATTTGACCTTTTTCTCTGCAGGGATGTGGGGTACGTTTAATACCGGAGTCAACAAAGTATTCTAACGGTTCACACTAGAGTCTGTATTGTCATGGTGTGCTGACAGGGTCCCGCACACTTGAAGTGTTTCTTGTTGTCAGCCCATGTTCACTGATGTGCGTGCATAAAGAAACATTTTGAACCGTCACCATACTGATATGTTCAAACAGAATCACAATAGTGATCAGTACGGGCTGTTAAAGTGTGCCCTAGCATCAATTTATTGTCCTGTATGTGGTCCTGCAGCTCTGGGTCTGGACTTGGAGCAGCCAGACTATGACATGGACTCAGAGGATGAGACATTGCTCAACAGACTCAACAGAAAGATGGAAATTAAATCTCTGCAGTTTGAGACCATGGTGGATCGACTGGAGAAGGCCAGCACACAGCAGGTAACACTGGACACTAGGGCTGAACAATTTAGGCAAATAATCTAAGTGCTTTTTTTTTTCCTTTTTTGAGAAATGTTGATTGCAATTTAAGTAGTTATTTGGCTAGAGATTGTGAGATTAGAATTCCTACTGGACAGTGCAGCAGTAAATATAGAGCGGGCATTTTCTTCCTTAATTCATACAATTCTTCAGATATGGGTTCATCATAGGCTTTGACTGATTTAATCAAAGTTTTTGAAGAAATCAGAGCAGAAAACTAACCTATACAATTGCCCTGCTAAATAAACTCAGACTAGCTTCCTTCTCACTTCCTCTTAGGTAGTAAAACTTGACTGGTGTTTGTACTGGACCTACTGGGAGCTGTGGTCCTGAGTTCTGTTGTCTGCACAGTTACTGCTGCTAGAGGCACTGAACTATATGAAGCATTTAATATTTAGACTTTCTGCAGTGCCTATGTTTTTTTTTTTGTTTGTTTGTTTTTTACCTTTTTTTTTCCTTCATGTAAAGTGAGTCAACAGCAGACACTGCTGCTGCCTGTTGAAGGACAATTGCTGCAAGCAGTGACCATATTGTTATGCTACAGCTTGAAACTTTTGTCAGTTTTACATATTTGACACGCTACTAGTCCTGTATGTAGACGGTGAGAAACATGGTTCCAGATCCTAAATATTAAGCATGATGAGGAAATTGCTGCTATTACTTTTGGTGATGGGTTATCAGAATAAGCTTTACTTCCCAGGTGTGTTGAACACATGAGGAATTTGACTTTGGTACAGCAACTCTGTGTGTATGTACAGTGTTCTTTCATAAAGGCAACAATGTAATGAGAAGTAAAATAGAGAACAAGGGGAAAATGTGCAATCATTTAATAAGTACTTATAAAATATATGTATATACACACATTTTAGATGGAAGTTCCACAGCGGTGGGAGGGATGGTTTCCTGTAGCTAGCAATGTCTTTCAGGCTCCTCCACACAAATGAGGGGTCGTTGGCTGAAACCTGGTTTCTCAAGTTTGCTGCTCTGATCTCCCCTGTCAGTGTGTTCCTGGCCTGGCTGTACAGAATCCTGTCCCCACATTGGTAGGCCTCCTCTTTGGCACGATGATGCTTTAGTTTAACTGTGAACCAGGGCTTGGTTGTTGTTGTATGTGCTGAAGGTCAGTGGTCGGTGGGCGCACACACGTCATCGAAAAGCTGATGTAGGATGTCACAGTGAGTTCATCCAGGTCTGCAGCTGCAGCCTCAGATACACTCCAGTCTGTGCAGTCAGAGCAGGCCTGTAGCTCTGACTTTGCCTGCTTGGTTCATTTCTTCACTGTTTTGACCACAGGCTTCACAGCTTTAAGTTTCTCTCTGTAGGTTGGAATAAGATGGACCATACAGTGAGTCCCAGGGCTGCACGGGGGACAGAGCGATAGGTGTCTTATTGCTGTGTAGCAGTGGTCTGATGTGATTTTTGTCCCTTGTTGGACAACTGATGTGCTGTGTATATTTGGGCAGTTTGTGAGTGAGATTTGCTCAGTTAAAATCCATACATGGTGCTTTGAGTCCATAAAATTATGAAATGAATCGGCACAGTCTGATGTTAGGCTTGCATGTACCGGTGTAGCTTTCATAAAGACTGACATGGTATGATCATTTAAAAACAGCAACTGAAGTGTAGGTAGCAGATAAAACCACCATATCAAAGAAAATAGGAATGGTCAGAGAGGCCCACATCCTTGACAGCAGTGCTTGAGATATCAACACCCCGAATTAAGACCAAATCCAGAGTGGGTCCTTTCACAGCTCAGTGAAGTTGTCTATGAAATTGGAAAATGAAATGAAATTGAAATGAAAACCTTGGAGGCCTGTAAATTAATAGCAGGATCTTAGGCGTGCCTTTCAACACAAAACAAAGATACGCAAAATCACCACATATTGTTTGTATGCATTGTTTAATAACCTCCAGCTGGACACAAAACCTTTTGTCAGTTTTTATCTTTAAGCCATGCTGAAGATTTAAGAAGTCAGAACCACATCTTTTGTTTGTAAAATGACCAACACAAGTTACAGTTTAATTTTGTCAGTTAGTTAATTGATTCATTGATGAATCACTGCAGCTTTGAAGTCAACAACTGGTGACAGACTGATGCCAGCAGAAGGTTGATTGACTTTGTTTAACAGAGTCTCTGTACTGTACCCTGACTCTCCTCTTCACCTGTTCTCAGTTGATCTCTGTTTCTGGTTTCAGCCTGTCTCGCTCTCGGAGGCAAAGCTGCTGCTGAATGAGGACGACTACTTGCTTAAGTCGGTGTATGATTACTGGCTAAGGAAGAGGAAGAACTGCCGGGGTCCGTCACTGATTCCTCATGTCAAACAGGAGAAGAGAGACGGATCCACCAACAGTGACGCCTATGTAGCCTTCAGACGGCGGACTGAGAAGATGCAGACCAGGAAGGTTGGTACTTTTCTACTGGTTATTTTAAGCTGGTTTATTTGAACCTGCTGGTGTCAGAACCACAAGATTAACATGTGGTAACAGGTGACTGTCTGGTGGGGTTTGTCTCTGATGGATTTTCCTGACATTTCATTTGGTGTTTTGTAACAGAATCGAAAGAACGATGAGGCATCATACGAGAAAATGCTGCGACTGAGGAGAGAGTTCAGTCGGACTGTCGCCATCCTGGAGATGATCAAGAGGAGAGAAAAGCTGAAGAGAGAACTGCTTCACCTCACCCTAGAGGTGGTGGAGAAGAGGTGAGGAGGGCTGGACACAAACACAGGCCTCGATCATGCTGTGGTTAAAAGGCCTGTAGATAGGTCTGGGTGTGAGGAAACAAGTTTCCATCGCTGCAGTGACAAGTCACATTAAAACACGATGTGCACGTGTAAAGGATTTAACCTTTCACGTCCATCAGATCCTGTGGAGCATGTACACTTTCAGATCTTGTTACCTACCAAGCCAGTTGGGCCAGCTACTCTATAACCTAAGTGAGTACAATGCAGGTACCGTGTGTAAAGCCACATATCTGCTCTTTGCCTGAGTGAGCATTGAATTCAGGGATGCTTTGTTTTAAGGGTAGCTTAGGCTTGGAAAATGCTGTTGCTTATTGTGGGGCCATGAAAACTTTTGGTGCCATGGCTTGATACGGGGAGAGCCTGGGTCAAAGCTGTCATCATCATTACCTGTAGGACTGGTATTATGCCTCTTAAGCTTTGACATGTTTTCAGATGACAAAGTATCCACTTAGATTGATAATCTAAGTAGTCTATCCAGGCAATACCCATTTTATTTGGAGATGCAAGTGCTCATTATCTGATCAGGCTAGCTCTTTTAGCAGGCATCTACATCTGGTACAGAGCACAGTCGGCGAGGATGCAGCTGTTTCAGCTCTGTCTCTACTGTCAGAACCTAAAGAGTGGTCCACCCTGTTATTATTGGGCTGATGTGGTTGTCCCATTATATATTGCCATTGGGGTCTATCATTAGAAAATATGGAATTTCATTTTACTGTTATGAGGATGATATTCAGCCTGGCGGTTGTTGTCCAGTTTGAAGAGAACAGCACTTCAGTGGAAATGAGAACAGATATGGCTGGCTGTCAAAATAAAAGTTACAGCAGAGAAAAGTGGGTGGCCAGGAAAAGTATATACATAATGCCTGTTGAATGTTGTCAGTGCCAGCTTTTTATTGACACTGGACACACCTGTCCATTACCTGAAGGTGCACAAATTCACACTTAAGTGGTCAGGACCTGAAGTAGGGTATTGAGACAAAGTGTCTGATTGTTTTCTGTGTGCAGGTATGAGATCGGAGACTTCAATGGAGAGATCCTCAGAGAGGTTTCAGTCCATCGGGTGGAGAAGCCCGTGTACAGTGCTCTAGTCACTCTGAACAACGGGAACAGACACACAACTGACATCAAGGTCAAGGTACTGGCTCTGTCTGAGCTTCTGTTTGTTTTGGTATTTACATCTGCACCAATTATTGGGCCTGGAGAAATAATAAAACAAAATAGGTCTGATCTTTCTGTTGTCAGAAAGAGATTTCAAGTAGAAGGTGTTTGACAAATTGTCTGGTTTCTGAGGAAACTGCACTGACAGCTGATGGAGAGCAACAGCAGGTGATTCTCCATCCAGTCGGTGCCTTTAAACCACTGGAGAAGGCGAGAAGGTTTAAAAAACTCCGCTCAAAGCTCAGATGATGGAAACCTGATGTTTGTTAGTTTCACGTGTCAATGTGAGGGATGTTGCAGCCTCCTCATTGCTCCAGATGCATTTGAGCTCTCAGAGATTCTCTCCTTCAATTTCTTATCAGAATCTGTTTGTATCTTCTGTTTCAGATGCACAAGAATCAGGGGTTTTTTAGAGACGACCTGATCAGAGCAAAGAACATCATCAGACAGGACAGACTGTATCCTTCACAGCGACTTCCTGTTCGACCCCCCAGCCCCTGCATCGTCAACAAGGCCGACATCAAACAGTACGACTTCCACAGCTCAGGAGAGGATGACTGTTCAGTGCCACCACTGGTCAGTATCATGTCTGTGTGATTAACATGTCGTTATACTGAAGAAACACTGGCAGAATCCAGAAACGTCTTTTGTGTTGAATCTGAGTGGTCTTTTCTTTCTGCAGTCTCCACCGTCTTCCCTTGATGAGGAAAATAATCCAGATGGTGTTTTTGCCTTCAGGAGAAAAGCTGAATGTCAATATCTCTCTGTGAGTTTGTTTTTCCATTTAATAATAAAGCATCTTGTAGAGCAGGGACATGCCACAAAACCTGGTTTATATGTAGCCAGGTTAGGCAACATTGATACTGACAGCAGTGAGAATTCCATTTACTTTATTAAATACTTCTTCTACACCACATTTATCCTTAGGCGGCAGTGTACACACAAAACTCAAGAATGTTTTATAAATAGTGATGCACTTTCAAAGATGCCCCTCAAATCAGATAAAAAACATTGTCTTTAACTTGATGTATTATTGCAGAGATGGGAGGTATCAGGATAAAGGCAACTAAAATAAATAGTAAATGAACATAACATTAAGAAGCTTTATAAAAGTTGTTAACCCAATACGTTTCATACATTAATATGCATTCTTTATGTAGGTCTACAGTATTTTTAGTAACATTATATTTATCTGTTCTTTGAACTGCCGTGCAGCCTATTTTGTTACTGCAGGGAAACAGGGAATTTTATCTTAGACAAACTTCAGAAAATCCCCCCTGATGTGTTGAACTCGGACAGGTGAAACCTCTCATCAACGGCAGATAACCTACAAATATTGTACCCAGAACAAGGGCTGTATCAGAAGACATAACATGCCGAGTACCTTTCTAGCCTCCTTCACTGTCCTACTGAGGTTATAGTACAGTATCCACAATATACATAATAGTCAGTGTTGGGGAGTAGTGAGTTACATATAAGTAAACAAAAGTTAACTACATTTTGCAGTAGCTTGCTGGTAGCCCAGCTACATTCATATTTGTGTAGTGACGGAAGTAATATTTTTTGCCTTTTTTGTATAGTTAACTACTGCAACTACAAATTATTTGGGCCATAAAAGGAAAGGAATGCTTTTATTTTACCATTGCTTCTCTAAACCTAACTGTCTTTTGGATAAGAACACAGAGACTCCTTATGAGTCATACACAGGAGATTCTGCTCTGAGAAGTAGCAGTAAAAGACTGGTTCATTTAGACCAGTGTTCAAGCTCCTCATACATCTAAAAGGTTTAAGTCGAAGATCGTTTTAGTTGTTACATCTGTCCAAGTCTGATGTCAGTCGCATAATGTAGTCCAGTACAACAACACCTTTAACTATGACCTCAATAATGAACATATAATTGAATTTATACATTTATGACAATCTCACCAAAAACTGAAACATTTTGAGCTTCATAAACACAAATGTTAAGGCAGAAGTGTTGCTTTGAAGTGCATACAGATGTACAGTGGTCATAATGTTATGCCCGATTGGTGTACAACACACTTACACAACACTATACACTAAGTGTACAATATTAATGTCCACCATCCACAGGAGGAGGTGTTAACAGCAGAAAAACCTGTTCGTATGGGCTCTAGACCTCAGACAGACTCGAACACAATCTGTCCATCTGAGAAATGTCAGTTTTTGTAATGTTATGAATTGAAAGTTTGTGTGTTTGTTTCTGAAGCCTCGTATGGAGCAGACAGGTGGAGACGATGATCCTGAGCTTCTCCCCCTGTGTCTCCGCCACTCTTTGACTGAACTGTCTGGGCCTCCTCGTTGGATAGGACTGAGCCGGCGCAGGATAGGACGAGGGGGCAGGTAGGTACTACTGACATGTCCAGTGTTCCCCACACATTCATTTATTTGTGGCGGACTGCCATAATATAAACATTGACCACCACATATTGGTTTAAAATAGGTTGAATAGTAAATAAAACTGCTGGAGCAAGTGAAACTTGTAAGAGTAGTGGCTTTTTGTATACTTAGACATTTAGTTAAGGTAACCTCACTGTTCTGAGGCTTTTAACTATTAAGTAAACTTATCAGCATCAGTTTATGAACTAGCATTAAATTGATCCACTTGCAGAGCAGACCATATACAGTGTGCTGACCTGTAGTCTAACGATAGCTTAGCTAGTCTTGCTAGCTTGCTAATAACGTCCTAGAAGAGTTGGATCTCTGTGATTGACAGTGTTGTTAAAACAAACACGGAGAGGAGGAAATAGAGCGGCTCACGGAGGGACTGAGCGAACACGTACGCTATGCATGGCTCTGCATTGAAAAAAAGATTTAACCTACTGTATGTATTTTAAATCAATATGTGGCGGTCAGTGTTGGTATTGTGGTGGCCTGCCACAAGTAAGTCAATGTATGGGAAACACTGATGAGACAGAAGCTATTTGTTGCCATCCCAGCTTAACTGAAAACAAACTGACCCAAGAAACTGATTAAAAATATTTTTCCTGGACTGGACCACATTATTTTTGTGTCGGTGACATTGAGTAATACATGAGTCACAAGTTAGGGGGTAATGCAAAACCAGCCACATCATCTGAACCGTTTGTCTTCTCTTGCAATAGTAGACTATGATGGTTGAAAATACTTCTAGTAAAGTATGAACCTCACCTTTATATGAGTAGTTTTAGTGGATTTTGGCTTTTTCTCTGTGTTCTGGGCAGCAGTTTGCTCAGTAGTCTTGCCAGGCCTTCTGCATCCATGCATCAAGACAGGGTCACCATTCAGGTGGGTATTCCCCCCAATTACAGGGGGATGCACCGAGCACATTGCTGCTTTGCAAACCAAAATAAGGATGAGACGACTAACGGGCTGAAGCTACAGTATCTTCTATTGTAATGCACACTGGCTGACAAAAATAAACAAAGGTTTGACTAGAAGAGTCTGTCAGCTAGTGATTTGACTAGTCAACTTTCAAGGGGCAGTCCTAATAATATTTTGAATAAATGTTTATAAGACATTTTATGGGATACGGTGTTTGACTTTGTAGCAAGCAGGGAAAACCAATAAATCCATAGGCTTCCAAAAACCATGACTTCTTCCTGATGAGCCTATTTCCTTGATTACTTCTTCTCATATCAGTTACAACATTAGATCCTTATTTTTCAGACACACTCCATGAAAGAAAACTGATCTATACAATGAAATAGAGGTGATCCTGTAACTTCCTCTCTAGTGCCACCTTCAAGACAAGCTCCACCGTACATTTGTGCTTTCAGGCTCATAGTCTTCACTATTTCTAACTTGTCCATTGTCACTGTGTCTGGTCAGGATCATTTTGGACCGTGCCTCCTCAGGCCTGGACCCAGTATTGAATCAGCTGGACTCTTTAACACATCCAGTCTTCAGGACCAGAACCAGTACCTGTGTCCACCTGGGTCACCCAGTAACACTGGAGCAGAATCCCCCCCTGACCACAGGAACCACCCTGCACTCCCTGCCTGAAGTTCTGAACAACATCCAGAACCTGAGGAAATTTTATTTCAGACCCAGACTGGTGGAGGACCACAGGGAGGGGGGCAGCAGGTCCACAGTGGAAGACCACAGACTCACATGTCACCTGTCACCTGACAGGAACTGTGAATCATGTAAGTTTTCTGTTCTGTCATAGTGACCTCACTGTTGTATTTTATCATGAATCAGAATCAGCCTCATTGGCCAGGTGTGTCAGACACACGAGGAATTTGACTCTGGTACAGCGGCCTTCAGAGTGTACGTACATGTCAACAAGCAAGGGAATTACTATATTCTGCTGCTACTTTATAATATCTGACAGTGATGTGATGTGTTATCCGTGGACAGTCCTGGCAAACCCAAACGTGTAGCGAGAGCATGCTGGGAACGCCTGGCTGAGGCCCCTGTCTGGGAGGCAAACCATTCCGTGACTCAAAGGCAAAGCAGGGGTTGGCACAGGCTGTATTTGACAGGGGAGATGAACTGCTGACTCGGAGTAGGTGATATTGTTGGGCGATAGGAGAAGCACTTTGAGTAACTCCTGAAATAGTCTAACATGTCCTCCAAGGAGGAGGAAGAGGTGGAAAACCTGCAAGAAACCTCACCCATATTTCTCTGGCAGAGGTCACTAAAGTAGTCAAAAAGCTCCACGGTATCAAGACACCAGGAGTGGATGAGATTCGCAAAGAGATGCTGAAGGCTCTTGAGCTGTCTTGGTTGACATGCCTCTTCAATGTTGCATGGAGGACAGGATCAGTGCCTGTGGACTGTCAGACTGGGGTGGTGGTTCCCATTTTTAAAAAGGGGACCAGCGAATGTGCTCTAAATATCAGTGTATCACACTACTCAGCCTCCCCGGGAAAGCCTATGCCAGGGTGCTGGAAATGAAGTTTTGACCCATTGTCGAACCTTGGATTCAGGTTCCCTAGCATTGCGGGTTCCATCCAGGTTGTAGAACAATAGCCCAACTCTTTACCCCTCCTGGGCGTTTGCCCACCCAGTCTACATGTGTTTTGTAGACTTGGACAAGGCCTATAACTGGGCCCCTTGTGGGATCTTGGGTGTGGGTACTTCGGGAGTACAGGGCACCGGGGCTGTTGATACAAGCCATCCAGTCCCTGTATAACCGGAGTAAGCATTGTATCCGTATACTCGGCAAGAGGTCAAACACATTTCCAGTGGGTGTTAACTTTTGTCAGGGTTGTTCCTTGTCACCAATCCTGTTTGTGATTTCATGGACACAAAAGGAGCCAGTTGAGGTGGTTCAGGCATCTTTTAGGATGCCTCTAGGGCACCTCCCTTTGGAAGTCTTCTAGGAACTTCCAACTGGAGAGATCATATATCTCATCTGGCCTGGGAATGCCTCAGAATCCCATCAGAGGAGCTGGAGCATGTCACCAGGGAGAGGGATTGTCTGGACTACGTTGGTGAACCTGCTGCCACCACGACCTGACCCTGGATAAGCGGATGATAATGGATGGGCACTGCATATAGTGTGTTTGCATGTTTTAACGTAATTTTTCTATGTACCAGCAGGGGGAATTACAGAGGAGCAGTACCAGAGTCATCAACAGCAGCTGGTCCAGATGCAGAAACAACAGCTGCAACAGCAGAACGCTGTTTCAAGCAGACACACAGCACTGCACAGAACACAGGTAACTCGTATGCATTATATGTTCATATATTAATATATAACAGATAAACACTTGGTATAGCCCATTAACAGAGGCATGAGGGATATAACATTTAAATTGCATATAGAACAGTAGATTAGTGTTCTCAAAAATAAAGGTATTTCGTTACACTCATTCTGAAGATTTGAGAATTCCAATATTAATTTTCCATACTATGCCTATACCAGCTGTGTTTTCTGGGTCTCTTCATTCTGACACGTTCAAACACACACACACACACACACACACACACTGCTGCAGTTCCCACAGTGCCGCCCCCTCCCTCATCACTCACGCTGCAGTTATGCTTGATGCCTTGGACAATGTGTGTGCCAACTGTGACATCGACACAGAGACAAATCCTGTTTATACTCGTACTTGATTCGCTGCGGTCTTCTCCTAAATGGTAGGGGTCACTGCTGAGAGAAACATAGTCTGCCCTGCTGGAATAGAGTGTGGTAGTAGTAAGTCCTAAAACCTAGCACTGAGTCAGCA